ACATTATATTTTGTAACTGACTTATTAAGATTTATGTATTTATATCTTATGTCTACCATCAGCTAAATTATTATTATCCTAATAATATTTTTGTTGTCATAAATTTTATTTACCAGAATATAAGGCCAATGTGTATAGGGCAGAATCCCTTAGAAATACAAGGAGATTCTGGGGGAAAAAAACCAAAAACTCAATTCTCTTCCAGAGTTTGACAAAGTCTAGAAAAATATAAGGATCTGTATGAGACAAAGTCTTATTAATAAAGAACCTCAGACTTAAGAGAATTGCTCTTCTGATACCCTATGTTACAAAATCCAGGTATGCACATAGTCCTTCAAAAAGCAATAATAAATTCTTTCAAGTAAAAATTGTACAGGTTACATTCTCTGACCATGGATTTGTAAACCTGAGATTCCAACAATTAAAAAATAACCATAGGGGCACCCAGTAGGTTGAGAGTCTGACTTCAACTGAGATCACAGCGGTTCTTGAGTTCGAGCCCCATGGGCTCTGCACTGACAGCCCCTGCTTCAGATCTTCTGTCTTTCTCTCTCTCTGCCCCTTCCCCACTCACTCAAGCATGTGTACTCTCTCTCAAAAATAAGCATTTTTTAAAAAGAGAAATAAATAACTTGACCATATGGAAATTTTAAAACATTTTTTTGAGTTTATTTATTTATTTTGAGAGAGACAGAGAGAGTAAGCAGGTGAGGGGCAGAGATAGAAGGAGAGAGGAGGGATCTCAAGCAGGCTTCTCACCGGCAGCACAGAGTCTTACTCGGACTCAAACTCATGAAACTGAGATCATGATCTGAGCCAAAACGAAGAGTTGGACACTTAACCAACTGAGCCACCCAGGCGCCCCTAAAACACTTTTTTACATAATGTATTCTTCAAAGTAGTTTATTCTTGGATTAAAGAGAAAATTAAAGTTAAATTATATATTATTTAAAGAACGAAAATGAGAAAAGTCCACTTAAAAATATATAAGTAAATTTTCTATCATTATTTAGAATTGAAAATAAGTCAAGTTTCGACATAGACAGATAAAGGCAAACAAAGAAACTAGGATGGGGAAATTTATAAAGATAAAAGTGGAAGTCAATAAAGTATAAAATAAAACAGTTATTCCCCCAAAAGGGAAATAAAGCTCTATGTCAGTTGTTTTTAATAAATAATACAACTTAAGCTCCTGGAAAACTTGATATGAAGAAAAAACAAAATTACACAACATTAAGAAAGAAAATTCGATTTTCTCTTTCTCAGAAAACCGAGGAAACAAATGACATTACAATAATTATAAGAAATACTATGTACAGATTGAAGCCAATACATTTTAAAATCCAGATTAAGGGTTTTCATGGGGAAATCCTTTATCATTACCAAAATTGACTCAAAAAGAGACTGAAATCTAAACAGACTTAAGAAGAAATTCAAAAGATTGTTAAATATGTAACTGCTAACAAAGATCCTGACCCAGATGGTTTTATGAGTGAGTCCTTTTAAGAGACTGATCATTCTGATGTTGCTTATAATATTCCAGAATACAGAGGATAGAAACTTTGCACATTTCTAATATCAAAACATGAAAAATTAACCCCAAACTGTAGATCAGTCTCACTTATGAATATAAGTTAATATTCTAAATAAATATTAAGAGATAGAATCTAAGGGTCTATGAAAAGAATAATATATCATGATTGGGAGTGATTTACTCCAAAAAGGCAAGGATGGTACAATATTAGGATATCTGTTAGTGTGATTAATATACCACTCATAGAATGAAGGAGAATGATCACGTGGTCATTATTAATAGACATTTAAAGATATTTCATAAAAATTCATTATCCATTTTGAGTGGTAACTAATTTTTAAAAGGAATAGAAAGGAACTTTCTAAACATATCAGTATAGTTATTTTAACTGTCTACACATTGATTTGATGATCACGATAGGTACACTAATTAAAGTACTACAAGTGAAAACAGTCCTACTAAAGAGTTTTGGGATGGGTAATCAGTCAGAAATCAGAGCCTCTTTAGAACAGCTTAAAATAATGCAATATTCAGATTAAAATTTTCATTCCATATGATGCTAGACTTTATTTCAAATGGAAGTGAGAAGGTAGGTGTGTGCCTGTACACTATGTTTATAAACCACTAGCGGAAGAAACTTTATGGGCCATTTACACCCACACTTTTGTTTGCAGTGTATCAGAGAAGCAGGGAAATATTGATAAAGCAGACATAATTTATGCAAGTAAAAACTAGAGCCCAGAATTGGATGCTCTTCTTAGCAAATGGAGTAAGTGCCTTCTTTCTCAGGAATGACTGGTGATTGAATTTTGCCCGATTATCTTCCAGCAATGATTGCCTTAAATCATTAATTAGGTATTTGTTAAACCCCAGTTGTTATGCGAGCAGTATTATGATGGGTATTTACAGATGTAACTATGGATAAAATCGGGTCCATGCCCTCTGAAACAAACCGTATTATGAACTATGTTACAAGGTGTGATTTTCAGGTGGCACTGGGTTCAGGGAGGTGATGGCATCAGAGGCAGGCTTTGTAAGATAAATAGAATTTCCACATGTGGAGAGAAGAAATGCTTCCCAGACCAGAACAGTATCAACTAAAGCATGGAGGCAGGAGCTGGAGGAAATGTCTATATAATTCAGTGGTGCTCAGACCTAGCCAAGGATCAGTATTACCTGAAGAACTTTGTTAAAAAAAAAAAAGAGAGAGAGAGAGAGAGAAGAACTCCAAGGACCCCACCATGGAGACCTAATTCAGTGACAGAGAGATAAGGCCCAGACATCTATGTTTTTCTAAAATCCCCATGGATGATTCTGATGCACAGTCAGGGTTGAAACCCAGTGATGTGGTCTAGTATGTGACCAGCCTGTAAGGATTATGGAGATACTATGGGATACACTGCTGGAAAGATAGAGCAGAGCCAATGATAACTGAGTAACACTATATGGTATTGTAGGTTTGTTTGCTTCCTTTTTTTTTAAAGTTTATTAATTTTATTTTGAGAGACAGAGAAAGCACACACATTAGTGGAGAAGAGAGAGAGAGGGAGGTAGAGTATCCCAAGCAGGCTCCACGCTATCAGCACAGACCTCAATGCGGGGCTTGATCTCCTTAACTATGAGATCATGACCTAAGCTAAACTCAAAAGTCAGACACTTAACCAACTGAGCCACCGAGGCACCCCATCTGCTTCCTTTTTTTAATTTCTATTACATCACCACCATCCCTCCATTAGATATCAACCAGATATCCCTTACACAAAATTTGACCTCTTGTGTGAATTCAAAGGAAAACCTGTTAAATGAGAGGAAGAGGAGGAACCGATCAAGAATCTTGTTCCAGTAAGATATGGCTGTATAATCCGCCCCCCCGCCCAAACTTAAAACAACAGTCATTTTATTATCACTTCTAATCCTGTGAGTTGACTGGACTCAGCTAGGCAGTTCTGCTCACTGTGACACTGGCAGGGGTGGGCCACAGTTGTCTGGGGGACCAGTCCAACTGGAATGTCCAAGACGGCTCACTCGCATGGCTTTCAGCCAAGAGCTCAGCTGGGGCTCTACACTGGAACATCTTTGTGGGCTTCTCACTGCGTGGCACCTGGGCTCCAGAGGAAGTGTCTCAAGGGTAAGCATTCAAAAAGGCCCCGACTACCAGGCTTCTGCTGACCTAGTTTTGGTAGCCTCGGATATATTCTGTTAGTTGAGTTGACCAGATCACTGAGGCCAGCTCCTCAATGGAAGGTGAATTTAACTCCATCCCTTGATAGGAGGAGCAGCATGTGCCCACAGGAAAGAAGGAAACAGATGGCTGTCGTGTTTTGGAGAATTGCTACTGCATTCTTCATGCACCAAGTACTATAGCATCAAAGTACATAAAGGAGAATTTTAGGAAGTTTAGATAGATGTCAACAAAAGTACAATTAAACAAAACAATAAGTAAGGATAAAAGGAATCTGAATAATACAAAATGCTTATGTAATAGATTTATGTCTTGAATTCCTTATCTGACGGTAAAGAATATTACTTTATTTCAGGCATTCATAGAATATCTGCTCTCCCCCTGTTTCCAATTCTGTGTCTCCCTCTCTCTCTGCCCCTCCCCCATTCATGCTCTGTCTCTCTCTGTCCCAAAAATAAATAAACGTTGAAAAAAAAATTAAAAAAAAAAAGAATATCTGCTCTCCCCAAAAGAGAAGCACTTGAACCCCTATATACTGTATACAGTATTTATACAGTATAAGGCTGAAGCCTATACATCTGTTTCCTTACCTGCCAGCCTTGCAGAAGTAGTTACAGTTGCGTTTGTTTCACCTGTTACTGTACACTACTCTGTATTAAAGGAGATTCTTCCTATTTGGGAATCCGGTACTCTGGATGGCTTTTTTACACATAGTATAAACAATTCAGTTACACATTCTATCTTAAGTTGTTTTTATTTGTTTTCTGAAAAGAGCGGCATTGAAGGGGGTTTATTTTGATTTTGCACAGTCTCATGATACGAGTAGTTTTGACTTGTCCTGGGTGCTCTTTACACTTCAAGGTCAACATCCAGCAACCACTGGACTCATCTTCTGATTTCCCAATACTGCTGACCTAGGAATTGAGCTAGAATCATTGCCTACACTTATTTTCCATGTATTGTTTTTTTAAGCCCCTTAACAAAAAGAACAATTTTGATATTCGTGTTTTTTTAAGTCTTTGCTTTGCTTTCTGAAATTCAGTTATTTTACCATCCTAGTAAGAAACACCCAAGTCTGAGGTGGGAACCCAGGTTGTGGGGATGATGTCATTTCCTGACCTGTCAGTAATGAGTCCTAGTTGTTTATTGCTTCTATCTCAGCGTCCCCATATGATGGCTAAGAGCTCTTTCTGAACTGGATCTTGGCATTAAACCAGCCAGGATGAGAAGTTTAAGCAACCAGCCATCTTCCTCAGTAACGCTCAGATCTGTTTGCCATTGCAGGTCGTCACGCTGTGGTACAGAGCTCCAGAAGTCTTGCTTCAGTCCAGCTACGCCACCCCCGTGGACCTCTGGAGTGTTGGCTGCATATTTGCAGAAATGTTTCGTAGAAAGTAAGAGATGCCTTTTGTTTCACTCTGTCTTCCTTAGAAAGAGGCTTTTTGGTCTTCAGTAATTTAAGTGACAGCATAGCATTTCTGTTGCAAGTAAGCTCATGCTAGGTCCAGATCCACCTGCTTCGTGTACCATGTCAAAGCCTGTCTTGGAGATGCTGTCTCTACGGTGTACTTACGGTGTAAGTCCTTACGGTGTAAGTCCTTACGGTGTACTTTTGTATGACTCTAGCTCAGAAACTCTGTTTGGAAAGTAACATGCCACTGTTCTTCTGACTTATTTTTGTTGATGATGATAGGACGTAAAAATATCCTCACGGTGGACTTTGTACACAGGAGAAGGACCAAGGCTGTTAAATGTATGGAAATTTTGATGGTGAGAATAGTTGCTTAAACAGAATGTTCAGATTGAAAAGGAATAGGCAAAGAAGATGTCAGCACTGCTTCAGAATACTGAAAATGCTGTCAGATGGAGGAGAGATTAGACATACCCAGGCACCACAGAGAGCAAAACAAGGACCAAAGATACAGAAATTACAGAAATAAAGACTTTTGCACAGAAGTGGGAAAATCTAATGTTAGGCAGTCCTCTGAGGAGACGATCGGGGTCACTGAAAGTGGTGTATCCTCACTGGGTATTCAAGAAGAAACTGGACCACCACACATTGGAAGTGTTTGCAGTGGCATTCTTGGAGTGGGTGGATGGGCTAGATGACCTCCAGAGCCCTCTGATCCTGAGAGTCTATGATTCATTTGATTTTCAGGTCACAACAAGTAGCCAAACAATACAACAAAGATTTGCTGGGAAAATAATCCATTCCCAGTCACGAAATTCAGCAAATCAAAATTAAGCAGAGAACCTAATCATAATCTAATGACTCCTTGTTTTTCTATTTTCATTTCCCTATGTCCCTGGGAAACCTGAGTTGGGAAACTGAGTATATTCCCGTTGCGCATGTTATGTTCAGAGTGTTGGCTACATGATAGCTCACAAGGAAGAGAAGTGCTTGACTGTTCTTCTGTTTTAACCAAATGAAGTTTTAGTGCATGTAATAAATTTGGGGACCTATTTTTAGAATTCAGCATTTTTGTATATTGCTCACAGGAAGGGATCATGCCAAAGAAATCAAAGTACATAGATGTTTGATGCAGGCCTACTCTATGCCAAGTACAGGACCAAACTTCTTCCCTTCTGTTACCTTTTTATGCTTCCTTATCAAAGATAACTGAGAGGCACCTGGGTGGCTCAGTGCGTTAAGCGGCTGACTCTTGATTTTGGCTCAGGTCATGATCTCTTGGTTCGTGAGACGAGCCCCACCTTGGGCTTTACCCTGACAGCCCAGAGCCTGCTTGGGATTCTCTCTCTCTGGCCCTCTCCTGAGCACATGCTCTCTAAATAAATAAACTAATTAATTAAAAAAAGATAATTGAGATGCAGTGATAAATTCATTTGTCTAACATCAAGCAGCTAAAAAGTAGCAAGGGTATTATTCCAGATGAAGTCTTGTGAGTTTTAATCCAATGTTGGTTTTCTACCAAGGAAGGAAGATCGCTTCTCGGCCTTTTGGCTAAGATCAAGTGTAGTACCAAGGAAGGAAGAAAATAAGTAATATTGAATTCAGCTGCAATGTTTACCAAACAAGCTAAATAAGTGGTTTGGAAGTGTAGTCCTTGGACCTACGGCATCAGCATCACTAAGGACCTTGGTAGAAATGCAAATTCCCAGCTCCCCCCATCCCTACCCCAGCCCAATGGATCAGAGGCTCTTGGGCTGGGGCTCAGCAACTTGTGTTTTCACCAGCCCTCCTGGCTAGTCTAATTCACCCTCCAGGGTAAGGACCACGGGGTTGGATGACAAGATCACCAGGGATGAGCAATGTAGATGTGCAATTCCCAGACCTCTCCCTTAGAGATTCTGATTCATTACTAGGCTGGGGCCAGGCATTCTTGTTTTTAAAAGTACCTCATGTAATTCTTTTCATCAGACAAGTGTAGAAAACATTGGGTTAAAGCATTATGGTCAGAACAGGAAATAATTTACTGTCAGTATGGCAAGGTGGGAGACAAGCAGGCATTCTAGTTCATCCCATAAATAACTTCGTTCACCTAGGAGCTGATTAGAGAAATGTCCGTTAAAATTACATTGATATGTCCGGAATTGTCTTCAGATATAAAGATTGATCCTGCTTTTGTAATAAGGGGGAGAGTGATCAGTTTTGCGGGTTTTGTTTTGGAGGGACTGTTTGTTTTTAAATAGGCTTCATGCAGGGTTTTTGTTTTGGGGGGACTGTTTGTTTGGGACTTCATGCCCAGTGTGGAGCCCAGTATTGGACTTGAACTCACAACCCTGAGATCAAGACCTGACCTGAGATCAAGAGTTGGATGCTTAGGGGCACCTGGGTGGCTCAGGTGGTTAAGGGTCCGACTTTGGCTCAGGTCATGATTTCTCCGTTCCTGAGTCGAGCCCTGTGCCAGGGTCTGTGCTGACAGCTCAGAGCCTGCAGCCTGCTTTGGATTCTGTGTCTCCCTCTCTCTCTGCCCCTACCCCGCTCACGCTCTGTCTCTCTCTCAAAAGTGAATAAAGATTTAAAAACAAAACAAACAAAAACAGAAAACAAAAAACGAGTTGGACACTTAACCAACTGAGCAGGCTAGGCACCCCTGATCGTTTTTTTTTCAATAGTACAAGACTTGAATACCAGCCACTATTGATGATAAAACCATTATTTTTCTGAAAGATGTTAAAAGAAAGATAAAATTTAAGATATGTAGTGTTAAGCATTCACTAGTAAGGAATTTGCTGTATTCCTAAGCTAGTTGCTACCTATGCAACAGTTGTAACCTGAATTTTCATTTTATAGCATTAAAGCATTTTCCCACTGAAGTGGTGACATAATTGCTAATCTGGTTCCCAGTCTAGCTTGCAGAATCCTATATAACCTGGGATATATATGAAACATTATTTCTACTAATTCATCAAAACCTGTTTTCCATTTATAACATTTTTTTCTACGGAAAAACTCATTCTGTCTTCCAATCCAACATGACAGGGATACCCGTCTCTTCACCCCAGCATGGAGTCTGGGAAGGGGGACTCAATGTTGGAGGCTGAGGGAAACGCTGCTTTCATGATGGCAGCAACAGTCTGCTTCAGTTTACTAGGAAAGTGAGATGATGAGTAGAGACCCGTTGGCTTTTTAGATGTGCACAAAAGAAAGTACTCTGTCTCTTGGAGCCTTGCATAGAGGTAGTAAATTGAGATTTAACTGCCTGAAGGAGGAAGCAATATCAGAATCCAAGCCCATGTGGACGAAGGAGAATGAATCCAGGCTTAGTACACACCATTCACAGGGTGGGTGCCCTGTCTCCTAAGTAGTTCCTGCTTTGGCTTTGACCTTGAATATGGCCGTAGGATCTGACCTTTGTTCCTCCTCTGTTCTTGTTTGGTATTTCCTATGATAATACCAAGATAATCTGATTGTGCCCGCTTCTTACTTATGTCAGATGAGTTCTGTGGTCCAGTCCCCAGCTGGTCCTGATTCTGTCTTGATTCCTGAGTCCATCTTGACACACCTATTGCAGTGTCCAGCTGAGAATTTACAAGCCATAGATTCTGAAAGTAGACCCCCTCATTACCTTAGGCTAACTCTAAATCAGAGAATCCTGGCATGTGTCCACTCTGGGTTCCTACTTGTTATTATGGCAGTATTTCCCAAATTTTGTCATCTTTTTTAACACTTCCATGATTTTTGCCATATCCTCGGAACAACTATACTTACTTAATTTTTTAACCTAAACGATTTACCTTTTTTTTTAATTGGAGTATAATTGACATACAATATTATGTTAGTTTCAGGTGTACAACATAGTGATTCAACATTCGTATACATTACAAATCAATCGCCGCATTAAATCTAGATCCTTTCTGTCACCATACGAAGTTGTTATGTATTATTAACTCCAGGCATACCTCATTTTATTGTGCTTTGCAGATGCTTTTCTTTTTTTTTTTTTTAACAAATTAAGGTTTGTGTCCTGCCCCAAACAAGTCTGTCAGCACCATTTTTCCAACAGCATTTGCTTACTTCATGTCTCTGTGTTTCATTTTGGTAATTCTTATAATATTTCAAGCATTTTAATTATTACCATATTTGTTATGATGATCTGTGATTAGGACTCACTGAAAATTCAGATGATGATTAACATTTATTAGCAATAAAGTATTTTTAATTAATGTATATTCATTGTGTTTTTAGACATAATCCTATTGCATACTTAATAGACAAGAGGGTAATGTTAAACATAACTTTTTTATGCACTGGGAAACCAAAAAATTCATTTGGTTCACTTTACTAATATTTTATTATGGTGGTCCGGAACTAAAGCCATGGTATCTCCAAGATTTGCCTATATTGCATTCATTTCTCCTCTCTTTATTATTATCTTTCTTCTACTAACTTTAGGTTTGTTCTTCTATTCCTTTAGGTGTAAAGTTAAATTGCTTATTTGAGATTTTTCCTGTTTCTTGAGGTAGACCTGTATCACTGTAAAATTCGGTCTTGGAACTGCTTTTGCTGTGTCTCATAGATTTTGGACTGTTGTCTTTACATTTCATTTGATTTCCTCTTTGATTTTTTCATTGACCCTAAACAACCTAAGTTGTTTAGTAATATGTTGTTTAGTCTCCATATGTTTGTGGTTTTTCTAGTTTTCTTCTTGTAACTGATTTTTAGTTTCATACCATTGTGCTTTGAAAGATGCCATATATGATTTTAATCCTTAAATTTATTAAGATTTGGTTTATGTCTTAACATGTGATCTATCCTGGATAATGTTCCATGTACACTTGAAAAGAATGTAAATTCTGTTGCTTTTGGATGTTATGTTCTGTAAATATCTGTTCAGTTCATCTGCTGTAAGATGTCATTTAGGCTAATGTTTCCTTATTGATTTTCTGTCTAAATGATCTATCCATTGGTGTAAAGTGAAGTGTTAAAGTA